CCACATACCAGTAATCTGAATGGGGCATCTGGTGAATACTTATTACCTTTCATTCGTTCTGAGGATTTGTTAGATGTTTCGTCAATATTGTATACAAATATGAGTATTTTTTCTTCTTCCATTCTGATTAATCTAAGTAATACTTATATGTTTATTCTTTATATGATAAATAACCTCTCTCTTGCAATTTACTTTTTATAAATGCATATAAATCTGAGTCGAATGGTATTTCAATCAGATCTATATCTTGCTTCTTGCATATCTTCTACTTTTTTTCATCACATGTCTTTTGCTTATCCAAATCAATTTGACCTTGCTTGTAGAATATTGCATTCTGATGATAGTGTTGTACTCCTTGATGCTCCCATGCCAGGTGCAATTTCTCGTTATACCCATCAAGTCTGAGTCTACCTAAAAATTTATCTGAACATAGTAGGAACTTCTTACCGTATTTTCGCGGAATAACGCGCAGGGGTGTAATTTTGAAATTTGGCCAGAATTAAGCTTAATTCTGGCCAAATTTTGAAATTACACCTCTGCGCGTTATTCTGTGAAAATACGGTATCTAATAAATCCTCAAAGATGTATTTACAGCATCGCTCATTTTTATTGTGAAAACAAAGTGGACACCACTCAAATTCCATTGCAATCAATAGAAACGGGTACTCAAACTGATACAGTCCATTTTTACAAGTCCAGAGGAATATATTCTGATTATTTATTCGCCTAGTTTTAGCTAAAATACTTCCACCATGTCTTCTAGCATATCGTTGTACTCTGTCAAATTCATTATTAGAAACACAAATGAAATGTATTAATCTAGAGGGGTGATATTTTTGTATAAACTTATCAGGTAGGTACTCAACCTTTTCAGGATTCTTGATTACTTGGAGCTCCTCTCTCTTAAAAGGTCTTTTGGGATTACAACCTATTAAATGTTTAGTTGAATCAATTGGCTCATCCTCAAGATAGTATAAGACTGGCTATGGTAGATTATTACCAACAATAACCTTTTTGATTTTATAGATACACAATGACCACCATGGGTCAGTTTTTCTATGCATATACCCTCCTTTTAGCTTACCAGTTTTTAATAGATATCTTACTGTGAGCCTCTTCTATAATCGTGGTTCATCCTTTCCAATAGGTCTTTTAGGTTTGGTAGATACTTTAGGTATTACTTTTCCCAATAATATTGCATATGATGGTGACATACCTATTAATTGAGTTTTATTATTATTTATATAGTCAATAATTTTTTGAAGTATCTTGTTTCATAATTTTGAGCATTTACCTTCTTTAAGTTTTCTCTCTATCGCATATTGAATTTTGTATATAAATCTCACCAAATCTTGTTTGAATTTTTTAACTAATACTAAGCTCTCAAAGCTATAAAGATCAACAACTTTTATAGGAACATTATATCGCTCTATTCCTTTTGCAAATGATCCTTTAAACTCACTAGCACTATTAATCATCAACAACGCCGGCCACTCGAGAGAATTTTTGGAATCATTGTATATTTTTTCAATCGCGTTCCAAATCTCTGAGCTAGTCTTTGATGTTAATGCTACTGCACATTTATATCTAGTTGCCACGTCTATCAGCACCAAAGTGTGTAAATATATTTTTTCTCTTTTCTGATCATTATAGACATGGGGAGTAGATCATATTGATGTAATTTATTAGGAATTCAGCATTTAGAAAAGCTAGCCTGGGCCTTAATCTTTGGTAGGTGTTGATATATTTGGTAATCATACTGATTCTCTAACCAGTTTGTGATATCTTTAAGTCGAAAATGAGTATATCCTTCTTTTATATATATTTTTTGTATTTTTCTAGGATTGGAATAAAAGCCAGACATATTATAGTAGATTATATGAAGAACAATTTGCAATTCCTTATTAGGGTCTATAATAATAATAGATTCACTCATATACAAAAGACTAATTTTTCAATTCTTGTTTATTATGTTATAAAATACTACAATGACACCAGAAATTAGCACAAATAGACTAACTCAAGCTGAAGATAGTTTGCAGATAATAAAAAATCAATTTTGTAAATTACAACAAGATCTAGCCTTAAAAGAAGATTATATTAAATATCTCGAAAAAGAAATTTTGATTCGAGATGGGGATTTGGATCCATTGCAACAAGAAATTTCTAATCTCAAAGAATGGTTAGAAAAGACGCTTAAAGTTTCTAAAAGCTAAGAGAATTATGTTGATTATTTATTAGAACAAAGGTTAGTAATTTTTCATGATGAAATCGACAAACTTAATGAAAAAATACTTATTTTGTATAAAAATTCCAATAATACTATAGAGATAGCACAACAACCAAAATCACCTAAATTATCTCTACCTGAAAATCAAGCCATGATCCAAAATAATAGAATTTAGCAAGAAATTAATAATATTAGATAGTATTTTCAAAGCCCAGTTACAATAACACCTACAATAAATGGTATTGTAGATTATCTTAATATAATTTCAGATACCGGAAATAGATTTGAAAGATTGGTACTAGATATATATCTACAGGCAAATACTCGCACAATTAATACAGAAAATCAAGTAGCAGATTTGCAAACCTAGTTAGCTAATTCACAAACCTAGTTAGCTAATTTACAAACCCAGTTAACCGATTCACAAACCCAGTTAGCTATGCTCCAAAATGACTACAGCCTTTTTCATCAGGCTTATGAGACCTACAGAACACAACACAATATATTTAAATCTCATGAACTTGATGGTCGAATTACAATCCATATGCAAAAAAGTCAAATATCAGAGTTGTTAGCAGAAAAATTTACATTGTGTTTTTTAAATAAACGAACTCAAAAGCAATTACAAAATTGTAAAGCTGATAGAGTGACAACCACACATCTCTTAAATCTTACAAGAAATCAATATATCAAATAGAAAAATAAATGCAAAACTCTAGAAAATGATCTATTACTTGCCGATGTTCAACTGGACAACAAGTGGGATAAGTGGAAAAATCGTGCTTAAAATTTTAAACAATTAATAAATAATTTACAATCACAAATTTTATTGTTACATAATAATCTACCAAATTGCAGGAGACTTAACTAGTATTGCACTATTAATTGCAGAGATTCCAAATTATAGTGAACAAATTCCACCAGATGAATGGTATCAAAGAATTAATCAAATATTAACTTTACTATCAATTATGTCAGCCGCCTTTGATAATCCACTTCAAGCAGATATTTTAAAAAGTAAGATGGCTGGAAAATATACAAATATACCTGCTCAACATGCTGGTAATAATATTGATACCCAGCCCGTTTCATTGTTTGGTTGTGTTATAAATATTAAACAGAAACAGTTAGTACACAACAAGTCACTACTCAAAGATTAGCACAAGAAAAATTCTTACTATTTGATAATACAGAATCATATGAGGCTAGAATCTATCCTCTTTTATTAGGAGTTGCTAATGGTGATGCCAATATCTTAGAACTTCTTAAGAGCTATTTATTAGGAGAGCTTTATACTTGGATGAAAATTGCTAACCCTGCTAGCATTAATGCATTTTTTACAGAACTTAAAAATATGTGGTTAGAACATCCTCCAAATTTGTATAAAGGCTCTATTCCTAACCAAATCTCTCAAACTTCAGCTGTTAATATACAAAATAAATCACAATAGTAGTGGTATATCTCGAGCTGAACTAGATAGTATTATAAAATCACAATTAGCTTTAGTACCAACTACTTCTATTCAGTCTTCACAGCTCCAGAAAACACAAGTTTTACAGTCTTAGCAAAAGCAACCTGATTTCAGTAACTACCTTAGAGTACCAGATAAATATATACCAGAAAGACTACCAGATAGGTATGGCATAAATTCTAAAAAATTTATTCATTGTGATCTTATAAACCCAAGTCCTTCAGCTAGCCAAATTATATCTATATATACTACTTTTGCCAGGCTTGCTTGAGCTGAGCTATATATCTTTTTTAATTCTACTTTGTCTACTCTATCCTTGTTATTATTCACTTTCAGTTCTTTAAATAAACCTTGTGACATGTCTATCGACCATCCTTTTTCTTGTTTTCTAACTCTTTGTAATGCTGCCACCACTTTTTCTTTTCTAATCCATTTATTTTGGAGGTTAGCTTTAATTGAAGAATCATCTTTTTCTATTATAACTTTCCTATTTTCTTCTTTGCTAATAGACTATTTCTCTGTCTGAACTTTTTTTTTTTTTCCTATAACTCTTCGTATATCCACTTCATTTTCTTTGTTATCTATTAGCACCCAGTCATGTTTTCGTTTGTCTTTTTTAATTTCTGTTTTCTTCGTTATTAGGGCTAGCCTGTTTATGCTTGTCATTCATAGCTCAGGTTTAAGAATTCTTGATTCCCTACTTTCTAAAACTTGATCTTCTAGTGCCTTAAACCAACAAGAGATTTTTCCTTTACATGATCCATCTTTAACTCTTTTAAGATAATACTATGTAATCATTTAGTCCCCTTGTTTATTTAACAATTGCTTAATAAAAGTAGACCGAGTGTTTCTATTGCTTGTGTATATTGGATAAATATTTTTTCTTCTATCATACTTTGTATCGTTCTTTCAATATTGCTTATCTTCTAGCTACCCTGCGTTGGTTTTATTGATATCTTAATTTTTGCTACCTTTCACAGTACTAACATCACCTAATTAAATTTCTAAAGCTTCTTAATGTTTATGTTATCTTCTTTATCATCTGAATCTTTAGTTATGCCTGCAATTCTATATCCTTGCCAAATTCTTATTTTAATGATTTGGCTAATTTTGCTTTCATCATTTAGTCTATTATGTAAACTTGTGATTTGCTTATTTGTAAACTCTGCATTTAATGTCTTAAAATTGTCTATATTTCTATGTGTTACTATATAGTTGGATGCTATACTTTGCAGGTCTAATTTGTTTTTCCCTAATCTGAGAATTGGTTGATGAATTTTGTCTAGCATTGCTTTGGAAGCTCTTGTTAATTGAAGAAGATAGCATAGCTTAGGTATAATACATATATTGTTCATATACACTAATTAACTAATTGTTAATTTTTTCTATTTAAGCATTTCTACTGTTTGTTTAACTATCCCTTTAGCTTTAGCAAGTATATATTTTTCATTTAGTTTGCAATTGAGCCATATACCCAGTATTCTTGTTATGCTACTAGGTTTTTCTTCTTTAATTTTTTTATTACCGAAGAGAATAGATCTTTCTTTAGCCTTAGATTTGGAGTTAAATACTATCAGATTTGACTTCTTTCCATTAATTTGAATATCGTTAAGTATAAAGAACTCATTTGCTATTGCTAATGTCTTTTCTATTACTTTTTTATTTGCTACAATCCACGTTGTGTCATCAGCATAAGCTACTACTGACACTCTTACTTCTTCTCTTTCCCCTGAGGCTCCTTGTGCTAAATCTGAATTCAAGGCACTTATTTTGTACCGAGTTCTTTATCTTCTTGAACTCTTGTTAATAATGGATCATAGAAAATTCGCCATAGTAGTGGTGATAATACTTCATCCTGTTCTATACCATCCTTTAACTCTATTGGCTTTGTTAGTCCCAATGTTGTTATTATCTGTGTTTTTCTATTTTCAAATAGTAATAGTACTAGCTTTGTTAGCTTTGGTGGTATCTTAATTCTTTCTAATGCTTTTTTCAACATCTTAAGTGATACTGAGTCGAACGCCTTCTTCATGTCTTGCAGTACTACCCAAAGCTCTAATCCTTTCTCTTTTGTATCTTCTGTCAACATATTAACTATATGTACTGGATGTTCTGTTGAGTCTCCAGAAAGATTTGCAAAGTTCCAACTCTGTAATATCTAGTGTTTCACTAAAATTTTGGAGAGCCGATTTGATAAGATTTTAGTTATACACTTTCTGAATATCTCTAATAGAGCGATTGGGCATGTATTGCCAAGGTCAAAATTCCAATTTGTAGTTTTAGGAATCAGATAAATTTGTGCTCTCTTCTATTTATTTGGGAATATTGTTTCTCTTATACAAAAGTTTGTAAATAACCTAAACTACTCCTAAGTCACTGTGTTCGCATTTTTAATCAAGTTGTATGTAATGCCTGATAAGCTAGATACTGTTCCACTTTTAAGTATTCTAATTGTGAAAATCCATTCTTCTTCTGTGATCTCACTATTTATACCTGTATACCAACTTTCTTGAATCTAGCTAATTGGTTTATATATTTCTATCCAAGTTTTTGCCTCTATAAAGCTTTTAGGATTCTTTTCTCTAATTTGCTTTTCATAGTGTTGTTTTGTTTCTTCTAGTACCCTATTTGGCTCTGTGATCAATGTTTTCATATTGTTTTGTTCTTTGAATAGTCTGTTTACTTTGATCTTACTATATGGTCTATTCAACAAGCTATTTAATATTTTCCCTTGGTTGTTTTCTATTATTTCACATCTTTGATCTATATTTGCTTCTATTTTTTTAAATTTAATTCTTTCAAGTTCCTCTAATCTTTTTTTGTTTATTAATTTCTACCAACCTTTTATATCATCAAGCTATTCTTCGTGGTTGTTTTGTTCTATTTCAGGCATTGCCAGATTAAACTTTTTATTTGCTTTTTTAATCTTTATATTTATTTTTTCTTCACTTTTCGATGATATTTTTTGGCTTGAGATTCTTCTAATCTGCCTTATCCATGTGCTTGTTTTTTTTGTTAGCTTTGCTAATTTGGTCTTGGAACTATTGTTTTTGATATGTGAAATGCTATTACAAACTCACTTCTTAGGTAGGCTTCTATTTGCTGCTTTCAAGATGCTTGTTTTAAAAATTGACCATGTTTGGTTAGCAAGCTGAGATGCTTGACTTGTATTCTTTTCTATAATTTCTTCTTGGAGATTCTTTAGAATATCGACTTTGTCTTTAATCTTCTTCTCTAATATTCTTCTGTATTCCTCCCAGTCTTTTGCTTTTGCTTCGTCATAAAGGTATACCATTCTAAAGTGTTTTCTGTTTTTCTCCACTGCTGCCGGTGATTTGTAATTTTGTGAGTCTAATTGTAATACAATATATACTATCTTGTAATCACTATCTGTTATGTATTCCATTTCTATAATTTCTGCACCTCTCAACCCATCTAATAGATTATTTGAGATCCATATTTGATCTATTCTTATAGCACAAGTCTTGTTTGACCATGTATACTCTTTTTTTGTCAGATATATAAATCTAAATATATCTATAAAGTTACTTTTTCCTAACCATTTATGTATTTTGGCTACTTTGTATTTCTTTGTTTTTTGATCAGAACTTTTATCTAACATCAGATCTACTACATGATTGAAATCCTCCATTATCTTTATATGTGCTTGTTTGCTTCTTTTTATAAAGATTTCTATAATACTTTTGTAAATTCTAGTTTTGATTTCTTTATTGTTTGGGGTAAATAAACTAGTATTATTATAAGTTCCATATTTTTGAAAAAGAATCTAGCTACTAGCATGTATTCACTTTTATCATCAATGCTGCCCAAATATTTTTTTTAGCAATTTTTAACTCCTAAAGCAACCCCTAACTCTTTTTTCTTGTCCTTTGCTGTGTTTGATCAAAGAAATCTGTAATTCTCCCACTTTTTTCCTAAAAAAAACCTCTCTTTACTATTTATATTTATTTTTACCAAGCTGATTATATCAATCTCTCTTTCTGTTACCCAATTTTCTAATAGCTCAAATTTTTGTTAGTTTGTCTTAAGCCCATTGATGTTATGACATGCTACCTTCATAATTGTTCTGTTATTTCCTATTCGTATTTCTCTTTTTTGTTTTATTTTAATATTCATTTAACTATTTGTGATGTTGCTTTTTTTTGGTGGCCTGTTTTGGCTAACTTTCTGTGATATTTTTGTGCCACCTTCTTTTGTTAAAACACCTAAAGCACCTTTTAAGAGTAATTAGAAGTGTCTGCTCCTAATTGTTTTTTCTCAATTCTATCTAATCTGCCTAAGATTTCTGCTAAGATCTGTTTATAACTATTGGTAGCTGTCTCATCTTTATGTTCTTTTGCCTTTTCTTTGTTTTGACTGCTGTCTCTAGGCTCTTCCAGGTTTTTTTTTGGATTTCTATTATTAGAGGTATTATTCTTTTGTTTGTTATTCTCCAAATTAGTTTGTCTATCCTTAAGGGCAAGTTTTCCTCTACTTTGCGATTTTATTTTGAAGTTGCTATCTATCTTGTAATTATTTTCTTTATTATCTTTCTGATATCTGTTATATCTTATTCTATTGTTCGTGTATTTGAGTTTTTTATCTGATCCTTGTACTCTGGAGGCTTCAGTTTCCTCTACTGGCCTTTTATAATAGCTTTGCATACTTGTCATATTTCTGTTATTCGTGTTTTCTGAACCTGATTGCCACTCTAATTTGGTATTATAATAATATATATCATGTTTTTGTGCTTGAAGCAGGTCTTCTTCCGTTCTAAAGTATATATGAGCTCTTTTGCTTGGGTTGCTATTATGGTTATTCGGAATATATACTGCCTGTACTTTATACTTTTTAAGTTGATATAACAATAAACTGTTGAGCACTGTTGTAGGCACTTTGTGAATTGTGCATTTGTATTTATTTCTTACTTCTAATTCCATATTGTTGAATTTTCTAGGGGTTGTTCTGTAGCTTTTACCTTGGTCAAGATATACTGACCAATTTTCTTTTAATGAGTTTTCTCTTTTATCTATATTTGTTACTATTCTAATATATGCTGCTTTGGTTTTAAAGTTCTGCTGCTATGCAAGAACTGTTGCTATTCCAAAATAGCTAAGATACTTTTTGATTTCTCTTGTGTTCATTTCTTTGGGTAAATCCCAAATTGTGAAGAAATACTCTGAATTGCTTGTATTTTTTTCTGACAAAAATCTGCCTCTTGGAGCCTATACTGAATTAAAGATATCTTTATGCTGTTTCATCTTCTTGTGATCTTTTTTAATTGTTGCTTTGGGGCTATTTTGATATCCTTTTGCAATTTGCTCTCTAATACCATAATCTAATACTCCTAATTCACTTTGTATTAAAGCTTTTTTAATTAGCTCTGACTTAGTTACTTCATCCTCTGTTACAATTATATCTTCAGATTGTTCTGTATAGTTTCTTTTTCGAGTTGTTTTTTGAAACTCAAATTCTATATTGTTGTTATTTTCGTTATCTATAGCAGCTATTTGTGAAGTAGTAATTTCTATAGCTACTTAGTCAGCTTTGTTTTTACTATCACTATCTTGCTTTTGTTTAGTATCTGTGGCTTGATTTACTGATACTTTTTCCTCAATTTCCATATCATTATTGTTTTCATTACTAAGTATAATTGTTTGTGAAAATGTAGGTTTTATAAACCCTAACTTGACTTTAGCTTTGTTAATATTACTATGAGTTTGTTTTTTCTCCAATATATCAACTTGCATATTGTCATTATACTCTAAATTCAGTAAGTTTTTTTCTTCTTTTGACAGAGTTTGTTCTCTTATCTTTTTGTGCTATGCTCAGTTATAACGTTGCAGAACTATATGAATAATAGCTACAAGATAGGTATCAATAGTGCCCAGATACTTTGCAACTTTTTTGTCTTCTTCTAGAACAATTAAATTTTGTTCTCTGTAAAATAATGCTCTTTTCTTTTCTGATTTAGTAATGAAATTTTTGTAATCTAGCAGTTCTAACATTTTACGCGACTGTCTGTTTACTTGACACGTGTTTTCTTGTTTTGTTTGTATTTATTTATTGTGTTGTTTGTTTTTCTAATAGTGTTAGGCTTGTTTGTTTATTCGCCTAATTTGGACATGTTTGCTTGTTTTGCCAATTTGTGATCTGCACGACAAGATCAGTGACAAACCCCCAAAGTTTCTAAAACAATTCTATAATTTGTTCAAAAAATTTAAAAATCCGCAAACAAGAAGCTTCTAAAGCCCTGAGATAAAATATCGTTCTAAGAAACTCGAGTTGTTTTCTTTTATTCTACTTTTTTGCTTGAAGCTCTTCTAATTGTTATTTAAGTATTATTCAGTCCTAGCTTTAATTTTTTTTAGCCCTGAATTTGGTTTTAGTGATCGATAGAAAGAGTTTATGAATAAATATATTATACTAATTTGATATTAATTATAAAATCAATATATAATACTATATAAAACAACTAGTCAATTAGTTAACTAATTAATTAATTAACTAGTTAATTAATTAGTTAATTAATTAATCATTAATAATCAATTAGTTGTCTAATAAAATTATTATCAATTAGTTGCCAATTTGATTAATTAATCAATTAATTAATTTTTGATTTAGAATATTAGTGATAATTACTAGTAATGATAAATAGCAAAATTCATAACTAAATCAAATTTAATAATTTTTTTTTTTTGTTTTAATTTTATAAATATCTAAATTTTAAATAAAAAAAATTAATTTAGTAGTTTTATTAAAATATTTTAAATTAAGTTAAAAAAAATTTTTATTTAAAAAAATTTGTCTCTTTTTTTATTAACTTTTTTTTATATATAAAATTAAATTTAAATTTGCCAATATATTATTATAGTGCTATATATATAGTCTAATCTCTTTATAATTACACACTTTGAATACAAAACTGTGTAATTATAAAGAAGTATAACAATTATTGAGGTTAAATTTATTATATTTAATAATAAATTGTTTTTAAAAAAACGAGCCTATAAAGAAAATATGCTTATATAGAAGGACTATAGAGAGATTTGACTGTATATAGATTTGCAATTTTATTAATCTAAAACTTAATAAAAAATTCTTAATAAAGTTGATTTAATAATAAAAATTCTTAAAAATCAATAATAAATTTTATACGTAGTATTAGATAAAAAAAATTTATTTACTTGGCAAAATCGAATTTTATAATACGCAGCGAGTTTGATATTCAAATTTTAACGATTACTGTATATTTCTTTATACTACTGTATATGAAAAAGAATTATTCGTGTAATATGCATAAAATTTAAAAAATTAATAATACTAATTAACTTTCTCGATTTTTTTGTCATCTTTTCTATGACAACTAAAGCTAGTTTATTTCGATTCAATAATAAGAAATTGGGATTAGACCAATTTTTTTTTCTATTGTCGTTATCAAAATCAGATCAAATCAGAATTCATAATTCTGCACCGGAATTATCATGGGCCCAGCAACATTAACGTTAAATGATTAACTCTTAAATATCCATATGTGGACTTTCATTTCCAGATATGGTCAGTTTAAAAGCAATTTTCTGTGTATACTAAATTGTTAATATGGTAACTCACCAATAAGCATTTTTTATCGTTATGTAATGAATAGATTAATAATTCTTTGATCTCATGAGCAAATAATTTTTTTTTTTTTTTTAAAAAGAAAAACAATATGAATAATTGTAATTTTGTACTTGCGAAAGAATCAATTTTTGAAGGAAAAGCCCGATTATTACGAAAGCCGAATAAGGTATTCATTTCTTTGATTGTTAATGGTTTTAAAGGATAATCCAATCGGAAACAATTATACGTAATCTAACCATCTAACCGAGTACATACAGTATATAAAACGACAATGTGATTCAATAAAGGAACTTATTTGGCAAGTTATTTATACTTTGATTCACTTTTTCACTATTATTTTTTATTAGTTAACCCGATAGGAATATTATTGACTAATAAGGATTTAAGTTTATCATTAATACGCGGATCCTGAATTAAAGTTTAGATTTTATTTTAATATCGTTTATTGCAGGATATAAAATTGAGAATAACCTTTGAAAATTAGATTGGTTCGCGCACAGTAAGCACAGTGCATTTCCTCACTCTTTTTATTTTCCTGTAATGTCGAACAATTTTAAGCATGTTAAAACATTTTTTTTTCTCGCATTAAAGAAAAGCCATGTACCCAGATTTTTTACCTTATCAACTATACAAAGTTAAATTGAAAAAATAGAATTGGTCGTGTTAAAAATTCTATAAATATTTTTTGAATGTTTATACATTAAATAGATTAAATATGTAAGGGTATTCTTATATAATCCATACTTTTTTGTTTTATACAGTAACGATAAATATTTATAAAAAAAAATTAACGCGTTATTTATTTGAAACTTTGGGGTTATAACATAGGTGAAGAAGAAAAAAAAAGAAAAAAGCAATTTATGTGAGACCAGTTTTGAAATAGATTTTTGAAATAGAATTACATATTCGAACAGATAATTCAGTAAGGAGATTTATATATTAAATCCGATTAACTACTTTAGATATTCTATTTTTCTCATTATGGTAAATTAAAGCTATCTCCGAGAATGCTTTAAAATCTTTAGAAGATCGTTTATGATCTTTATCACCCACATTTCTTACACATTTCACACATTTAAAACTGACTGATTAATTCAATTAATTAATAATCAGAGCAGTTGTACAATTCCCTGATCGTCCATAGTACTGTTTTGCAGAAATTGTCATTTGATCTTTGGAATAGTCAAAATAAGGGATTTTCATTTTTTTTTCTTTTTTTTCAATTTACACAAATTACTAAAACTTTAATCCGTAATAGCGAGTACATTCTTGGGTTAATGAAAAAAGAGAATATCAAAGAAGGAAAAAGAAAGTTCACGGGCGTTTCATGCAGTGCATAGCATGTCGTTCACTCAAATGGCGCCTGGAATGTTTTTGCATACAGGCGCCAATTGTGTATTCGTACCTTTGTCAAAAAGAAAAGCATGGCGCACTTAGGAATGAGTAATAACAAGGATAAAAACTAAATTTGGGTTAATTCGATCTATTTAATAGTAATTATTGCGAACAAAAATTTCAAACACATTTTGAATGATGAGTTTTTTTTAGTTAATATTAATGTTAAATATTGCACATTTTGTACACTTTAAGATTTTCCTAAAGCTAAATTTGGATATTAAAGGTTGAATATTGTGCATAATTATGCAGGTATATTTAAATAGTAAATCGTGATTTAAATTTTTTGACAATCAGAGAAAAAAATCATCGACAAATTGCAGAAATTAATTATTTATGGTAAAGAAATGCTCATTCGATTTTTACAAGATAACGATATACGTAGTTTAACGAAGATGCTAATTACGTACTCGAAAGATGATTGAATAAAAATATACCAAAAAAATTAGTGGTAAATTAAATAATTTTATTGTCAACATTAGTGTCAAATTAGATAACACTAATAATGTTATTTGTTTTAAATTAACATTCCTTTCAAAGTATTTCATTCTTGCCGATTATTGCCTTTTTTACTGATACTTTACTAATAAAAAAAATTAATGATTATTCCATATGATCATTATCGTTATATATATTTGGGTTCATATTTTTATTTTTAAATTGTGGCACCATTTCTTAGTTTATTAATTTCTTTTTTTTTTTTAACTCAAGTAATGTAAATCAAACTTTGTCATGAATAATATTCTCAAAGATAATAATTTCATTAAAGGTATTAATTAAAGGTATTAATAAATAGAATGAATATAATGTATATAATGAATATAATGAATATAATGTTGAGAATGTCGATATTTTTTTCCACATGACATGCACGGAACAGTAGATCATTTAAATCGAAAGTCGAAGGGTACCGATGTCAAACCTTAAACTGCGCTATGTATAGTATGTACGTACTTTAAATGTGTTATTTGTGATAATCTTACGTAAAGCGAGTAGATCTTTAAAGCATTAACCCTGAGCGACGTTCAATGTATGGTTCTTATAGGATGTACTGAAGATTAATACGTATTAGAATGAGACAGCGACCTGCCTCGCAGATTACGTTAAGTGAACATCCAAATGTCCAATTAATATCCAATTAATATCCAATTAATATCATTTGAAATATGTAAAATATGTAAGAAGACCCATGCATTTCTTTTTTTATTGCAGTCATATGATGTTATTAGGAAATCACATGGATCATTGTAAACGTATAATACGTAATTTTTTTTTATTTCTTAAATTCTTAAATTGATCGATTAAAAATTTAAGTTTACGTATTTGGATCTTCATAAATGCACGTTATGCTCAAAATTAAATTATTACCTATTTATTTATACAATTACAGATCAAAAATTGATCATTTATTAAATATTGACAAGAGAAAAGTAAGTTTTAAAACAGTAAATCAACAAAAAAGTTGTCTATAATTCGTTCTTACAGGGAAGCGAATCACCAATCATAATTATAACGATAAGCAAAATTTGGTTTTAACACCTCTAGAATTAAATTTTTTTAACATGATGACAATTATCATTAATGGAAATTCTTATGAGAAGACACAAACACACAAAAGGTAAATATTTGCTGTATTAGGACAATGTGTAAAGTTTGAATACGAAATGCTTACATATTGTTAGTTTTTATTTGGTTTAACATTTCTTGTGGCATCTATAATATACTACGCATAATAACGTTTAAATACTATAATATATACTAAGGTGTTTATTTGTTTATTCCTTTCCCAATCGGACCTCTAAGGAGCTTTTTTCTCTATCGATTTTACGTATTAAAAAAAAAATAGCCATCTACGTGATGATACATGGATGTTTGGTTGAAAATTGAGAAAATTATCGAGCATATTTTTTATTTGTTTGCTTTGGACTTAACGAGATATACATACATACGTAGGTAGTTTGATAATCTTTAATAATTTTTGGCACTATTTTTAAAAAGATCAAAAAGGAACTAATAATATATAGTTTGAAAATTGAAACATTAAAGGGGTGCTCATGATCAACTGTGTTATGCGATATCTAACCTACTGTAAGTCAAAATTGGAATGATCTTCAAAAGACGCATAAATAACATTCATTATCGTTATTGTTCATTGTTATCATTATTACTGTTATTACTGTTATTAAACACTATCGTTATCAGTTATAGATGAATTACGTAGTTCTAATAATTAATGATTTTTAATAATTTTTAATAATTTTTAAGTATGTAAATATGGTGTTTTACCACCTATTACTACTAACTACTACTGTACTATTATTACTACTTACTACTGTACTATTATTACAATATGATATATGACTTTCAATTTGGTTTAAGTCATGAAAACAATTTTTAATAAAACTTTCTAGAAAAAAAAATATTGTTTGATCTGCAAGTTATTTTGTACAAATTTAAGTGCTATATTAAAACCAATTATTGTGATAAATAGTAATCTTGTAAATTGACGCACCATACATTTTAAAGATTTTTTATTTTTTAGAGTTAGTTTTTGACTTTAAAGATCGATCATGTACCATAAATTATTAATAATTTATGCAGATCAAAAATTAATGGAACCTGCAATAAAATCAGTTAAGAAATCAAATTTATAATTGCCATTTATTTTTTCTGACTAAAATAATGAATTAAAGATCAATCTTTTTTTAACGAAACCTCAGATCTTTCTTAATAATCATCTTACTAAATAATTGGTTTCAAACAACAAACAATCCTTTTTTTTTTTTTACACTAAAAGTTAGAAAATGTGATACTTTAAAAGGAACATCTTGTCTGTTCATTTAGACTTAAACATCAATTAGATCGAAATGCAATTTATTGTACTACATATAATGCGCACGCTAGCTCAATGAAATGTAGCATTGTTTGTTTATTTAATAATATTATTTTTGAAGGACAAATTAAGATGCATGAATAAATTATTTAAGCTTCAAAGTTACACTAGTGATACATTGAACACTTAAATATAATACTGTGAAACAATAAAACCTATGGTACTATATGCAGATTTTTGATAATTTATGCAATGCTGCTCTACACGGCCGTAAATTTATTTATGAAAAAAGTTAAGAATTTTTTAAGAATACAGATTCGTTTCAAAATGCAAGGTAATTTCACATTGTTATTTATTGTTATTTATAGTTATGTCTTTGATATTTTTTTTTTTAAGAAAAGATATTATTAAATACATTTTAAATACATTTTTAAATAAATTTTTTAAATACATTTTGATAATTGTACATGAAGAAAATTTTTTTTTTAATCAAGGAGACTGACTATCTATAATTGATGATTGACAAATAAACATAAAAAAGCTTATCAATTTACTCCGTAATTCCGAGTCTCCTAATTTTAATAATTCACAATCAGGGTCAAAGGGAAATCTAAAAAAAAATAGTGATGCACATTATTATTATTACATGGGGAAATGCGCATTTAAAATAAAGTTAATATTTTTCTTTCACTTATAAAATTCAATTATAAATAAAAAAATGATACATACCGAATAGCATAATTGAATAAATCTAGATTCGCATGTATCAAACCTTGCTTAATAATAATAATTAAATTTAGTGACTTTAGTATTTTTCGTATCATTCACTACATTCATTACATTCATCCTTTTATTTTGTTATGATAGCATTAAATCTACCATCATTAGTTGTATTATCTAATAACAGATGATAACAGATAATAACAGATAATAACGATAATAAACGATAATAACTATAATAACGATAACTATAATAACGATAATAAACGACAATAACTAATAATAACGATAATAAACGATAATATAATACGTATATATAACTATAATAACGATAATAACAGATATTTATGATAAAAACAATTAACGTTAACGTATTATTATATTTATATCGATATGCTGTACCTACAGTTTACAGTAATATATATATCGATATACCGATACAGTATAAAAATTACTGTATTCTAAAAAAAAATTTTTTTTTTTTTTCTTTGATTACAGCATTACAAATCACTATTCCGCATTTTTTTAGGTGCATTGTATGTGTCCTTTTTACAGAACCTAATAAGGAATAGACGCATTTTATATAAATGATCATGATAAATTAAGTTCGGTTGTACACAATTTCCATGTTTCTACATTCAACCGAAAACCCGTTTTATTAAGAAAAAAAAAGAAAAAAAAATAGTGTTATAGAATAATAAATTTGAGTACAAAAAAATTAAAAAAAAAAAACATGTTTACAGTAACAGTAAACTTTTGATGGATGATCTAAATGTTTGGAGATTACATATTACTTTCGTGGTGAAAGGTTTTGTCCAGAAGGCAAACACTTTAGATAAGTAAAAATTCCTATTGGATACTTAAATTTTCGAATTCGGATCTTTTTTATAAACAAAGCATATAAAAGAAAACTTAAAAAATTCGCTTGTTTCCTATATTTATACATAACTACACAATACACTGTATATACACTAAATACACAAATCTCTTTATTTAGAAACTTACATGCTTGCAATGAAAAACAAAAGGAATAGTGCCAATTATCATAAAGTAACATTTACCTTTCTTGACGTTAGGATTTATCGTGTATGAATTCCTGATTATAAGAATTTGTCGCATGATAAAAAAGTACAATATTATAAAAAATTCCATTTTTTTTAAAGTTTTTTTTTTATAATTTATCATTGGTTATGACATTGTTATGATTCACGAAATTTTACTACACTAATTTCCTGAATTTTCTGAATTTTAAATTTTTTTTTATCGTAAATGTTATTATCATTACGTACTGTATTTACTGTATTTACGTGTATATAGTGTATATAGTGTGTATAGTGTGTATAGTGTATATGTATAATATCAGATATTAGATATTATAATTAATAAAGAAAACTTGAAATTTTTTTTTTTTTGGATTACCGTAAGAAAAAAAATCCCATAATGTGTGTTTATTTGATTGCTGTACAGAAGGGACGAGAATTACAAGTTATCATGTTAAATGAATTATAAAACTCTAAATTGATGCTAAATTATTTACAAAAATATATCTCTGATTTACGTGAAAAAAAAAAAAATAGTAACAATCAATCAATAGAAAAATGTATCTATAAACGAATAAAAAAAAAAAAAAAAAAAAAAAAAAAAATGCAATCAAAAATTAGATACTACGATAATGCTTATTTTTTTTTTTATCCTATATAGCATATAATTATTTCATAATAGATACTGTCCTATTTCAAAATTTCAATCAATAAAGTTCAAAAAATTTTTTTTTTAAAAAAAAAATGTGTAGTTTAATTAAATCCATTTAACTTGCATAAAGAATTCCCAAAGTTTACTAGCCTTATTAACATCAATTCGAAGAAGTTTTTGTGCATCACTCTTTCTAAATGGAAGTGATTTTTGTGTATATCTTCGAGCTGATGAAACTAATGTATTTTTAGATGTTAAATATTGAACTGGTGTAAGACGTAATGTTGATGCAACATGTGCTTCTTTTGGATGTAAAGAATTGTAATGTGGTAAATGTGAAATTGTAAGTGGTTGACCTTTCCAATTAACTTTTGGATTAATACGATCAAGTAAATCTGTATCAAGATCTAATTGATCTATATTTTCCATTAATTCTTCAAATTGCATTGGTGGTGGTGGTGGAATACGAATAGTTTTTGCTTCTCCTTCATTTGCGACTGGTGTAAATGTAGCTTCTAAAAGTCCTCGATCTGCCATTACTCTCGCAAGACTATTTCCTTTACGTTTACGTTCTGTTACAGATCTTTTAGTTTTATTTCGAATTTTATTACGTTGTCTTTTATTTAATGATTTTGAATTATTACGTGAACTTGATTCAGAAGTTTCATCAGCTGAAGAAAACATATCAGAAAATAATAAAGGTGTACTTGGATCTGATGCTGGTGGATCATCACTATGTAATAACGCTTGAGGATCTTCTTTAAATGGTGTAAAAACATCCACTTTTAAAGTTATTCCTGGTGATGATTTTGATGGTGCTCTAATAGGATAAGGATTCTTTCTAGTTTTACGACGTTTATCATTTAAATTCTTAATAGGTCCCCTATCATCAATATTTGCGGATTGTGTTTGGTTAGGCGTTGAAGTCACACGACCATTGTTGGGGCATATTGAAACTGTATCCTTTGTACTACCCATGATGTCGGAGCTTGCGGTTAAATTTCCAGTTGTGAGCGCAGCAGTAGCTTTAGAAACGTTACGAGGAATTTTTTCTGAAGCTTTAATCAAATCCATAAGTTCTTTTGGAACATCGCATACTCTCATCCTGAATCTATGTTGACTTCCTGGCGCATAATTGGTGATTTCTATTTTTGTTAAATCCAGTTTGTTTGAACTTTCTGATTGAGACTCACCATTAAGCGATACTTTTTGGTCATCAGTCATAAAATGTGTAGAACATTCATCAGGAGGAGAAGGAGGTGGTGAAATAAGTGGTGTTGCAATAGAATTATAACAAGAAGACATTTACTTGTATTTTTTTCCTTTTTTTAATTTCTTTCTTTTTTTTTTTTTTATATATATATATATATTTTCGTAATAGAGTTAATAATAATTTTAAATAAAAATTATAAAAAAAAATTTATAAAAAAAATTTAAAAGATTTGTAAAAAAAAAAAAAAATAATAAATAAAAGAAAAAGGTTGAAGAAAATTAATAAAAGAAATATAGTCAAGCGATAGTCAGCGCGTTTATATATAGAGGACCAAAGTAATGTTTCATAAACCAATTCGGAGTTCAAAGTAAATAAAAGAGAAACAAGTTGAGAAATAGTTATTTATTGTTGAAACCGGAGTAAATATGTAATGAAAATCAATTTACGAGAAAGTAATTTATAATTATTACTAAATAGTAATAATGATAAAAAAATTTGCAATTTCAATTTTTCTGAAAAGAAAAGTAATAAAGAATTAAAGGAAAAAGCAAAACCTCAAAATTTGGGCAGAATGCACTTCCTTAAA